TTTTTTGTGATGTAATGGTGAATATGTGGTTGAAAAAGAAGAGAAATTTATTGATGTGATGAAAAATATTATTTTATTGAAAAATGTGTGGTTGAAAATAAGTAAAAGAATGAGAATGTAAAACAGGGGCGAAATATTATCTACCCAAGCAATGTATTAGACTATGATACGTTTTATTGAATTAACGTCATTGTAACATATTAATTTAATTTCAAACTTGGAAATCGTATAGGGTTAATGCTCTCCATTTACCAAGCTACAATACAAATGATTTAACAAAGTGGATATGGTATGGGAGTCGTAGTTAAATTCATGATTTTCTATGTTGATTTTAAGATATATAATTCTTCAAAATCTAGTAGGTACATATACATGGGTTTGTCAAAGTTGAAGCTTTGAAGTTTCCATGGGTTTTCGAATGAGTGAATGTTGAGGAATTGTAATTAATGGAAAACTTATTGTTCACTATTATTGAGTTTCAGTTATCAAAATAGGAGTAATTTTTGGAGGGAGTAATTTTGAATTTTTTTTACTTAATGTCTAGTATTTATAATAAATAGATTAATACGTAGTATTTACTGAATTATTTTTAGTTACTTGGTTATATGTGAATTTTTCCCTTTTCCAAATGTAGTTGTCTTCAATCCACCCACGCAATTTTAAAATTTTTCCTTATTTTTTAACTACACATTCTCCATCAATCTATTATTTCAAAATACATTTTAACCAAAAAAATGGGACTCAAACATTCCCTATATGTTGTAAATTGTTTGCATTTTTAATCTATTTGAAATTTTTACCCTTTATGAAATTATGCATTTTATATCTTTACAAAATATATTTTGAAAAATCTCATTAAAATTGAGCCCAAACAAGGAAATATGAGCATGTTTGGTAAAAATTTTCATTTTCTACAGTAAATCAATTCTCATTTTCAACCACACATTCTTCAATAAAATAATATTTTCCATCACATCAATACTTTTTTCTTCTTTTTCAACCACACATTTCCCATCATATCACTATTCAAAAATCAATT